TTGGCATTTTTCCAAGGATGAAGAGTGTTGTGGGTGGAGCTTTCCAGCAAAGAGACCCAGATGGTTTAGGGGATATTTGATAATGGCTACCTGAAGTGGCTGAACTGAATGACTTATTAAAGCAATAACTCATTCAGTTCAGCCACTTGAGCCATTTTCAAGCAGCCCCCTAGAAGGAAAAGCTCTGCTTCTTCCATCATCAATGGCTGTCCATACTAATTTCACAGTCACAGTGCAATGAACCCTTCTCATGTCCTACCTCCACTAGATAATTGGGAGCTTGAGTAGCTCTCTATCTAGTACACTACTAGCAGAATTCAGACCTCATGCCACTACTTATGGATGTCCTTTGTCATCTGGGTGGTGTTCCATGGGGCTTGGCCTCATGGCCTGTACCTATACAATAGTGGTATTTCTCGCTGGATCTCCAATAACCTAATAAGCTAATTAGCTGATTCAGAGTGCAAATTGCTCTAATTTCCTTTCACCTGCAACAGTGCCTACTAAGAGTTGACATGAGCTTTATTGACTTAACAATGGCTACTCAAAGGTGCTTGTTCCTTTCTTTTTCTTTTCCTTTTCTATTTTTAAGACCGTGATACAAATTTATTTATGTACCCTTTAACAATCTTACTATGTTCTTGAGTTCATATACAATTGGCCCAAGTTTTTAAGTAATTAGTACTTGAATAGAAAAAATAAAGAGTTATGGACATGATTTGCTTTATTTTTGCTATGTGGATGGCAGATGTGGCAAATCTAAACCACCCACTGAAAAGGGGAATCTTATGACTAGTCAAATGTTTTAAAAAAAGGCTCATAAATAAAACCACTTTTCTCTCAAGGTGGCAAGTGTGTGATTCAATCATCTGGGTCAAATGGGTAAAGTTGTGATATCATAAATTGTATAATAAAATATAAATTAAAAATAATTTGCAGAAAAAGTTGAACATGTCCCTAATATTATATTTTCACTATATTAAGGAAAAATAAATTCAATAAACAAGGTTCAAAATATGGCAAATGTATATCATCTGATTTGTAATTGGCTTTTAGCTAGGTTAATTTATAGATTGATTATGCACTAGTTTAAAGGAAAGTAATCATGATGAAGTTCAAGTCTGTCAAACCAAAAATTACTTAAAACAATACTCACTTTTTTTTTTACTATCTAGCATGCTGACCTTGGCAATAAATGGAAATTATTGCTGTTAAGTCATATATTTAAGTTTGACCTATGACCTGCCAATCATATTCAAAAAGTTTGATGGTTTGAACTTTGAACAACTGGTTACTAGGTCACTAAGGTGGTGTTTGGCATCAATGCCATTTTTGAGGAAACAGTGCCATGTAGGCATCACATTAGAAAACAGTCTCTTATTGATATCGTTTTTTTATAAAAAGTGTTACTTCAAACCATGCCTTAGAAGTCGGAAAAGTGTGGTCTGAAGTAATATCAAATTCGAGGTCTTCTCAGAAAACAGTTCATTACTGTCAACGGTGCAATGATGTAGCATCATCTTGGATGTTGGATAATATGGCCAATGCTGAAAACGATTCTACATAACCGATACCAAATAGAACCAGTGCTGTTTTCCAGAAAATAGCCTAAGTGGCAGCACTACTTTCAAACAAAATATAAGCCCCATTTTTTGAAAAAACGATGCTTACAACCCAAACATGCCCAACACTGTTTTTATGAGAAAACGATGCTGTATTCCCAGCACCGATGCCAAACACCTACTAACTAAACATTTTTTCTCTGATTGAATTAAAGGGTTGAAGGACTAAATGAACCCAAAATCCTGATTCAATTGGTCTCATTGGCTGGATCAACGAATAACATAACAAAGAAACAAGAAAACAGAAAAGGGGAGACCAAAGAAAATGCAGGATGTGTTTTTTTTATTTTGTAAAACAAAATCATACATATTTTCCCTGATTAGGATTAAATGAACCCAAAATCCTAAAAAGGTAATGAATCAACTGGTCTGACTGGCCAGTCAACGATGAACCACATCACCCCTAATTAATGTGGACGGCTAAATAGAAGGGGAGATTAAGTGGATGTTTGGTATGAATTTTGTTTATTTGAAAAACACTTGTACTTGATTTATTTTCAAGATCAAGAAAAAGGGGCTAATAAATGTTTTCTTAGTTTTGGTTGACAGTTAAGTGCCATTAGACACCATTATCCCATGTATGACTTCCTTTTATTTGATAAACGATGCCATGTCATTGCCAAATCAGCATTTATCCCATTATGTTAATTCATATGTATAGGTATTTACAAAAGTAGATATTGATTTATGTGCGCACCAATCGTTAGGGGAAGAAGGTTCACTTAATACTCCTCCCAATGGTTAAGCATTTATTCACAGTTCCACTGATGTTGCACTTAATGGTGACTAATTGCCAATAAATGGTTTATCAAGTATTTTTTTCTAGGTTTTGAAGACAAATCGAGTGTCAAATACACAAAGATCTTGGTTTTGGGGAAATGTTAAAATGAAACTTCCCCCAAAAGATGGTTTACACATAAACCGAGACAAATAATTATTAAATAAGCAGTCTTACCAAATAGCATTTTGGAAGGAATGCCTACATGAAGTGGCACCATTTTTTGAATAAATGGAAATCATACCAAACACCATCCAAAGAAAATGTTAGATGAAACAGTAATAAGAATGATTTGAGGTCTCACAATTTGATCTAACATAAAATCATAAATAATTGCCCCCAAACTATTCAATAAATTACTTTAACAATAAAAAATAGTACTTTATTCTATAAAACAAGAAAATAGAAACGAAAAAAGACTTCTTCCCACATATTCACTTTGAGAGAACCAGACTTCATCTTCAGGATTCTTTTTTAGATCATCCCAGCAATGATATGGTGTACAACTTCTATGATAACTAATGTTCTAAAAATCAGGCCTGCAACTGTAAGGGATAGATGTGGAAGTGTGAGTGTTTCAAACCCATTTGACAATGATTTTACTTTGCACCAAACAGTGGAAATGACCCACAAAATTAATCAAAAAAAGATTCAAACTAAATAGTGTTCTGAAGATTAGTGGGCATTGAGCAAAAAGGTAAAAACTCCGGTTTAGTGGGTCCACTCGGTTTTTACAGCCTTTTGATTAAAAAATCAACCAATCAAACCGGTAAACTGAGCCTGGTTCAAATATGGGTCTCCACTAGGTATTCTTCTGTTTCACTACCAAAAATAAAAAAAAAGGGTATCCTTCCTTTGAGGGATGCCAGGGATGGGTTAAATGATAAATTCGCATTGGCCCAACCCTATGGGTTTAAATCGGGTCAGCTTTGATCAGGTGTTAGGTTGGACTGATTTGAAGGCCAGTGTTAAATCTGATCTTTTGACATTGCAACATTAAAATATTTGTAACTATGTACAAGCTTGGTTGAGTATTAGTGTACTTGGAGTTGCTTTGGATCAGATTCCGGTCAAACCAAACCTGCACTGAATACAACCGGCCCATTGACATACCAACTTCTATTCTTTTTAACTGTGGAATTAAAACAGTATTGTTTGATTCAACTGGACCAGATAATTGAACCGATGCCACAGTAAAATGCCATATTGCATGGTCCAAAGAACCAAAACTCTTCTCTTCTTTTATATATAATTTTTTGGCCAGAGGTCAGATGGACATCTTAGGACGGGTCTAATGTTTAAAGTTTAAACATAAGGAAACCCCCCTAATTGATACATTGCAAAATTTTGAACTTGGATATAATTGGTTAGGTTCTAAGAATATCCGAAGAAAAAAGTTCTAATTGGTCTGGTTTGCAGTCGAAATTAGAATCAAAATTGGTTAGAATTGGAATGATTTATTCTATAGTTTACTTGGTTCAAACAGGTATTGGAATGGGAATTGAAATCAGCTTATGGAAAGAACGAATGGGGAGGAAATAAACATTCCCTCAAACAGAGAAATGTCATTCTCCCAGGAATGAGAATGAAATTCCAATTTTATCCAATCAAACAATTAGAATCAGAATGGTTTATTTTGACTCCCATTCTAAACCCCTATTGCTGCAGACCAAACGAGTTCCTTTTCCATGGAGAGAACAACAAACCAATCCACCCTTGCCACCTGGAAAATATGATGTAAAAAAACATTTGGAATAAAAATAAATTTTTCTGTGTTATCCCATCCCATCTCATCCCATTTCTCCGCATCCAAATGCACTATTAAAAAACTCATCTTAACAGGGGCTGTTCCCACGTCTCTACCCACAACATATTACAGTTGTGCAATGAAAATATCTCCCTCGTTATGGGAAGATATTCCAACACACGGTGATGATGCTCTATAGGTAGGGATGTGGGAACAATGGATAGCAGATCCCTGAGGCATCCGACCTGCCTCCCTCACGTTCTCTCATTGTATTATGTACCCTTTATATTGTCCAAGTATTTAATAGTTAATACAACGGAAAAAAATACAAAATCCATGTCTAGAGGTGACATCCGGAGGTCGGAGCCCGTCTCCTGAGTCCTGACCGTTAAAAGACGGCCGTTACGACAGTTATCACGACGGTTACAAAAGCCATTCCACAAATAAGGGACCGTTTGGCAATACCATCCAGCCAACAAGACAAGCCATAAGGCAACAACTAAAAAAACAATTTTATCTGATACAATCTCGATTCTCATCGTTTATTTTATATTACTCAATAAGCTTACTTAAAAAAGGCTAAAACAGGGTTAGCTCTTAGTTAATTATAGCAAGTATGGCCCACGAGACACGAGTTATTATCGTACGTTATGATGCACTATATCGAAACCACATAATTGAGGTGGCAGTTTCGTGATTTTGTCCAAAAGTAAGGGGCTTTTAGTAAAATTGGATGAGAAGATCCGCTCCTTGTCGGGAGTCATTATCCAGGAGATCTTTGAAAACGATATTTTATTTTTAGATTTTATTTTTAATTTTTATTTTATGCGAGCTTGCAAAGCGAATCCTCTGCTCTATCCCCACTCTACGACTCTACTCTGCAATTAAAGCAGACTTGGAGCGACAACGAGAGAGAGAGAGAGAGGGGGAAAGCTCAGTTTCTGCTCTCTCTTACTTCATTGGCTCCTTCCTGATTCAACCCATTTTTTTTTTCTCCTGATATTTTTTGGCCATCTGGGTTCACAGAAAAAGTCATCTGGAGTGGTGATTTAAGTTCTGGTTGATCAGAGGAAACAGGCAGTTTCATGGTCTTCAAATTAATGAAGACCCAGTTGGGTTCTTGATTCAGAGGTCTCTGTTCTGGGTGCCACTTGGGGAGGTTGAAGAATCAGTTGTGCTGTGGAGATCTGAGCTTGCTTTTTCAGCTTGGGTTTGAAGATTCAACCAAGTTGCCCGATTCGAAGAAGGGTTGGAAATAAAAAAGGGAAGGAAATGAACAGTTTGAGTAGTTGGGTACCACGAGCCCACGACTTGATCTGATTGACACCCACTAATAAATGCAAGTTGGGAGTTCCGATTCTCGTCCGAGAGCGAATTTTCAGCTCCGATGTTTATTTTTTTTTTCCTTTCCGTTTTTGAGAATTTAGACGGGAGGTTTTGAGCTTGGTTGACTAGAGCTGGATAAGGTGTGGAGTATGGAAAGATGGAAAAGAGAGGAGATGGTGAGAAATAGAAAATTGTGAGAGAGAAGAAGAGAAATTTGAGAGAGAGAGAGAGAACAGAGGAGGATGACAAGAATAAGTAAATTATAGAAAGGAGATTAGATTAGAATATTAGAAATAGAAAATTTTAAAAAAGAAAAGCGTAGAAGGCGAGGCAAACTTGTTTATAGTTTCTGGGGGACAATCGCGTATCTACAAATATCCAGAAATTCGATTCAGTTGCTTTGGAAAAGGGTGATAAAGCGAATACCACATTAGAATAGAGGGTCCGATCAAGATTTTGCGTGATACAGACGAACCACCCCATACAATGCACCTCACAACAGGTAGATTTCTGCATACTCTAATGTTTCACTCTCTCTCTAACACACACACAAGCTTAAGTTTCTCTCTCTAACTCTCGCTACTGTGCTTCGCTGGTTTTCGAGCTTAAAGAAATCAATTTAGGTCAATCTCTATTTTGATTTGCTTTAAAAAAAAGAAAAACAGAGAACGTGCTCTTTCTTTGTCCGGATGCCTCAACTAAAACCCCACGCTTGAAGAGGACATGATAGGGGGTTCTGGGGCTTTTTTAATTCATTGGAACCCAGAAACCAGAGGCACACCAGGGGGAGGGGGGAGACCCATTTGCTACTTCTTTGGGATTTGAAATTTTTTCTTCTTTTCAGAAGAGCAGTCGGCCATGCTTGTTCTGTAAAGCTCTCTTTCCTTCTCTCTCCAATTCTGTGATTAAAATAGAGGGAGAGAAAGAAAGAGAGAGAAGTCTTTAGCTCAGTTTTCTTGGGTTTATCAGCTGGGATTCTCGTTTTGAGTTTTAATTTCCATGCTTCAACTTGAAGCACGCAGAACGATGCTAGTGTAGACTATATTTAGAATATCCTTTTCCTTCAATTGCAGAAAAAAATGTCTTTTTGAAACTTCTGGTCTCCTGAGGGAAGTTAGTTTTTGAGTATTGTTTAGATGAGAGATGAACTGGGGAGAAGGAGAGAAAGAGGAGGAAGGAAAAACCAGAGGACTTGAGTTTTTCTGGTGATGGGTCTGAAGGCGCAGAGCCACCACACGGTGGCCGTGAGGCTGAACGAGCAATTGGCGGCGACACATGCGATCTCATTCTATCGGGAGAAAAGAGCTTGGTTCCCGAGGGTGCTCTTTTGCTGGATCATTTTCATGGCCGGCGTTAGCAGTCTTATCTTCAGGAACATGGATGCAGATAACATGGTGAGAAGGAAGGAGGTTCTGGAAAGCTCTTGCGAGCAGCGGGCGAGGATGCTGCAGGACCAATTCAGTGTCAGCGTCAACCACGTTCACGCCCTTGCAATCCTTGTGTCTACGTTCCATTACTACAAGAACCCGTCAGCCATCGACCAGGTATTCTACTCCGTTTTTTTGTTACTTTTCTTCTTTTTCTCTGTTGTTATCGTTTAGTCCTTCAATGTTGAGTTTGGTGTGTGTTTTACCTGATTTGGGCGATTCTCTTGTTCTGGGTTATGGTGGTAAATGCAGGAGACCTTTGCTGAGTATACTGCCAGGACTGCTTTTGAGCGGCCATTGCTGAGTGGAGTGGCGTATGCACAGAGGGTGGTTCATTCCGAGAGGGAGAAGTTTGAGAAGCAGCAGGGTTGGACGATTAAAACAATGGAAAAAGAACCATCACCTGTTCGGGATGAATATGCGCCAGTGATATTCTCGCAGGAGACTGTGTCCCACATCGAATCACTTGATATGATGTCTGGAGAGGTAGATTTTGATGTTCTGTTTTCAAATAACTCATCTTGATTCAGTTTATTTCTCAAGATGTCATGTGTTTCATTTTAACGGGATTCTTCTGCGGTTCTACCCTGATTGTTACAGGAGGACCGGGAAAACATTTTGAGGGCTAGGGCTACTGGAAAAGCTGTTCTCACAAGGCCATTTAGCCTGCTGAAGTCTCACCATCTGGGTGTTGTTTTGACCTTTCCTGTTTATCGCACCAATCTCCCTCCTCATGCAACTGCAGAGGAGCGTATTGAAGCAACTACAGGGTGAGTCCTCGTGTTTATTTTTCTTATTGGATGTTCTGTTGCAGTCATGCTTCTCTTAAGCATTCTATTTCTGGCTTAAAAATTACCATAGTGAGTTCTGTAGAAATCAAATTTTAAGCCACAGGGATTTGTAGATCTTTTTTTTTTTAAATAAAGATTTGTTGGTCAGGCATATGGCAAGCCTAATCCAAAACAAGAAATATCAGGGATTGAAACAACATTGCATTCAGCATTCTGTCACCTATTCCCATTTGTAATTCCCTCTTGGTTCCTTCTTTCCCTTATGTAGTTCCTTCTCACTGAATTTTGCTTTTCTAGAACATGGATATGGTCTTTTGGTGTTTGGTTTTGGTGAACTTATTTTCTGATATTTTGATTCTCTTATATATATATATATTTGCTCACCAATTCCACGGGGACATACAATTTGGGCTTTTACTATTGCTTCTAATATCAAAGATTATGCCTTGGGCATTGAAAAATCATTTCCATTAAATAACTTTTAAGTTTTCAGTTTTATCAAGGGAAATCTACTTGCTTATTTTCACCATTGCCTCTCTGCATCTATAGGTTTCTGTGGCATTGTGAGGTTATTGCTTGGAGTGGAGATAAAAATGTTTCCCCATCCTATCTCATCTGTTAGGCTCATTTCGAGATTAGGTTGTTTTTCCTATTAATTGGCACAACTATTGTTGGGCCCCAAATAGGTATTAGATTTCAACCAGGTCAATTCTCATAGATATACCTGTTTGGAAGATCTTGACTTTACCATAATGAGTAATTGGAATGTTTACTAAAGTGGCAGAGGCTTGACAATGCCTTTTATGGATAGTGCCAGATGAATAAAAATCAGCATTTTCCCCCTTGAGAAAGTACTTTTCCCTTTAAAGGCATGGCTAGGTTCTTCACTTAGAATGAAGCTCTAGCTTGAATAAGAAAATAATAGAAGTATAGAATGAAAAGAAAATTTGAAATGTCCTTAGAAACTTCTCTCTCTCTTTCTCTCTCTCTCTTCCTTTGACCGATAAGAAACTTGTGTCTCATGCTTGCTATTCATGTCTACAGTCAGTTACTCTCTCCAAAAATTGGGCATGCTGAAATATGCCTTATTCATGGGACCTTGAAGCAATAAGAAGACTCTTTGGGCCCAAGCTTAGAAGCACCTGGGTGAGCCCAAACAGGTTGCATCAGGTGGGCTCTGGATTTCCTCTAAAGCAATCATCAAAATTTAGCTTTATAACATTAAGGTCTGTATGGTGCTAATTAGACCATATTGATTGATTAATGGAGTAAAATGAGCAACGTAATAATAGCCTACAATGGCCAACATGTGCTGACACAACCTCCAAGTCATCATCCATGATACAAAATCATGAATGTGCTTCCAAAGTTATTTTCCTTGCACAGGTGTACTATTGTAGTTTAGTTGAGACTTGATGGACCTTTAGGGAACACAACTAGTACAGTTTATGGTTGTGGAATTTATCAGGCAGGTCCAGTCGTCCAGATTCTGCTTCCCCACATTTACCAGCCAACTATGTTACCCAGGTGTGGCAAGGACACGGCTGAACATGATATCAGATATGGAATTTAAACTAAAAATTGAATTTATATGGCACTGTTGTACAGTTTTCTGGATATCTTAGCTAGCCAATTATTGAGCTTTGTTCAGCATGTCAACCTGGACACGAGTAAATTGTAAGAGTTACGATCAGTAATCAGGAATAGGTGAATTTAAAAATCAAAGCAAGGTGAAATGCTCTAGACAACAATGTCTTCTTGGTAGAATGGATTGTTTTGGAGATCCCAATGTTCTTTGCAAAATTCTCCAGTATTGGCAGATTATTGCTGAGGGAGAGAGCCCTTGTTTTCACAACATGAGCTTGTTGAAATGAGGTTGGAGTTATATCTTAATTTTCCCCAAAGATATCAAATAGAATTCTCCTCTGATGCCATATATTGAACCAAAATTAAGTTTCCCTACCATCTCCAAGTAAATGAAGTATGATATTCTTTGCAACTATTTTTGCTTTTGGGGCTCTCAAGGATCACTGAAACTTTGAAGAGGCAGGGAAGTGTCAATAGACCATATTCTTGATTGTGTTAACAGAATCTATGCTGGGCTTAATGGTCCCATGCAAGAAGGGGACTTTCTATGCAATAGGCCTGAGCATACAGTGGAAGACATTACTATCCCTAGAAAATTTTCAGGAAGGATTTATATGGAGCAAAAGTTAATGGTTTGGGATTCTCTATTTAGGGATGTTCTAATAAATACCTCTCTTCCATACTACTTTTAGTAATTGATGACACTATTACATCTTTTGGGATTCTCAGAGATTTTTTATCGTGTCTTTTTTCTTGGGCAGTCTTAATGGTTTAAAGCTGCTAACATGGGGTTCCTAAATTACATAATTTGACAGTTTACTCTGGCAATATTTTATTTTTGATACTCGGGAAAATGTCATAAAAATTGAGAATGTATTGTAAAGTTACCGAGTTGGGATGAATGGGAAATATGTTGACCAAAATCATGACTATAGAATTTTTTTCAATGTCAATGCGCCATAATCCATAATACCATTAATTTGTACTTTGCTTCCTTAAGCTTGTCATATTATTTATATATATTGTTATTTTTCAAGTTTTATGGTTTTAAAATATTATTAATATCTATAAGTATCTTTTTTGAAGTTCTACAGAATGATGCCACTTTTTAATGCTTTCCTTGAACTAGCAATTTTAATGCAATTTCAAAAATTTTCATGAAATGTCTCATTCTTTTTATTTTTTGAGTACCAATGTTTCCCTTGAAAATAGAATTGAATAATAGTTATGAGGTGGATTCTTATTTTGGAATGGCTTGCCAGTTATGAGATGGAGTTTTATTTTGGAATTACTCCTCTGCCTGTCCTGGTTATGTAGATGCTATATGATTTTGAGATGAATATAAGAAGAAAAATAGTTTAAATTAACAAAGCATTTTGAGGTGGGCTTTCCCATCTCTTTTTTCTATTTTATTTTATTTTTATAATTAATTATATGGTGAAATTGAATATGTTTCAAGTCTTTTTTGTTAGCTACTCTAGTTTCTTTGAACCTGAATATTTCTATGAAAATCTGGTCCTGGAATTGTTTATTGTGAGTGTTGCTTTTGATAAAAAATCTTCTAAAAATCATCAACATCCTTTGCTTGATTCTTTTGCTTTCCTTATAGTTCAACGGTTCCATTAGATTCCTAATTATATTGTGCATGCAATATATGAAGCTAGTAATTTGTTATTCCATGGTGTTGGTTTTTTAGGAGTATTTGTAATTGGCCCTGATCTGTAATATTTTTGTTCTTCCATATCTCATTAATGTTCAGGGACACCTGAGCATGCTAATCTTGTAACCAGCCTTAGTTTTGTGATTATCATTTGACTTTGGACAGCTCTAAAGTTGTCAACATTTTGAATTTTGTTTTCTTTATTTTGGTTTCAACAGGGAGCCACGTTGATCTTCTAAGTTAAAACTGAATCCTAAGTCGTTCTGGCTAGGTCTATATATGGTTCATATAAAAAAAAAGAAAGAGCGCAATAAAAGCATTAACCACTTCCAGCTTTTTGCTCCCCCTACTTTTATTCATATGCAAGTTACTTCTTTATCCATGAGAGGGCTAATTAACTGATGAAAAACAGATATCTTGGTGGAGCTTTTGATGTTGAATCACTGGTAGAGAACCTGCTAGGGCAACTCGCGGGGAAGCAGGCAATTTTGGTAAATGTATATGATGTTACCAACTCATCTGATCATCTGATCATGTATGGACCTCGATACCCTGATGGTGACATGTCCCTTGCACATGAGAGCAAGCTTGATTTTGGAGATCCATTTAGGAAGCACTTAATGATATGTAGGTAAGTGCCTCCAGTACTTATTTTTTATTAGAAAGGGTTTATCTGGCAACTGCAGAGGATTATATGCTCTTTTGGATACTAATTCATTCTGTCTTAAGCAGATATCATCAGAAGGCCCCTACTTCATGGACAGCTCTAACTACTGCGTTCCTATGGTTTGTGATCGGTGTGTTAGTAGGATACATTTTCTATGGTGCAGTGATGCACATTCTTAAAGTTGAGGATGATTTCCATGAAATGCAGGAACTGAAAGTCCGAGCCGAAGCAGCTGATGTTGCCAAATCTCAGGTCCCATCCGAAACCCATCCCAGAACATATTTAAGTCATGCTTTTATCTCTTTTGATGCTGCTAAGTTTCATGCTTCATGACCTAAATTTTATTTGTTTTGTTGATAACAGTTTCTAGCTACTGTTTCCCATGAGATAAGAACACCCATGAATGGTGTCCTTGGTAAGTTGAAGGCTTTTATTGCTTAGTTGTTTGCATATGTATATAGGGAAAACTGAAAGGAAATATTGTTATTATTTTTCATTATTTAACCAGGAAATTTGATAATTGTAGTACTTTGCAATTGCAGGAATGCTAGGTCTGCTTCTGGATACAGATCTGGACTCAACTCAAAGGGATTATGCTCAAACCGCTCAAGCCTGTGGGAATGCACTGATAGCTTTAATAAATGAAGTACTTGACCGTGCAAAAATTGAGGCTGGCAAGTTAGAGCTAGAGGCAGTCCCCTTTGACCTACGATCCATACTAGATGATGTTCTCTCATTATTTTCTGGGAAGTCTAGGCAAAAGGGTACTGAGGTAAGTCTATCTACAGTAAAGATGTTTATCTTCTGGTCATTGACCATTTTTTTACTTCATAGGGCCCCATAATTGCTTCTCTTCAGTTTTTGTTGTTGACATTTCTCATTTTTTTATCTCGTCTTTCATTGTCTTACTAAATTTCTTCTTCATTTTGGGGCTAACATCTATGTCTGTGCTGATTTCCATGGTTCACTATCATGATGCTACATGATGAATTGTCTAAGTGAAGCTTGCTGCATTTGTCTCTGATAAAGTTCCCAAAGTCCTTATTGGTGATCCTGGGAGATTCCGGCAGATTATTACAAATCTTGTTGGCAATGCTGTTAAAGTGAGTATTCATTAAAGCTTGGGGTGCCAGTTGAAGCTTTTGTGTGTGTGTGTGTGTGTGTGCATGCGTGTGTTCCCCCCATGCAAACGTGATTTCAGCCCAAGTTAGCAACAGTAAGTTAATATCACCATCAAATATTCATCCATATAACATATTTATTTCTTTTGCATTTTGGCAGTTTACTGAACAGGGCCATATATTTGTCCAAGTCCATCTAGCTGAACATACCAAGTCTGTGATGGCTGCAAAAGCTAATGCGTGCTTGAAGAGAGGATCAGATGAAGTGGAAGTTATAGCAAGTCAAACCCAGTTTAATACTTTAAGTGGTTTTCAAGCAGCTGATGACCAGAATAGTTGGGAAAATTTTAAGCTTCTAATTGCAGATGAGGAATTTTGCTCTGATGCCTCAGATAACTGGATTCCAACTGGTGAAGATTCTGAAAGTGTGACTTTGATGGTATCTGTGGAGGATACGGGAATTGGGATTCCTTTCCAAGCCCAAGATCGGGTTTTCATGCCATTTATGCAGGCAGACAGTTCAACATCCAGGAACTATGGTGGAACTGGTATTGGCTTGAGCATCAGTAAGTGTTTGGTTGAACTGATGGGTGGCAAGATCAACTTCATAAGTCGGCCTAAACTTGGAAGCACATTTACATTTACTGCTGTTTTGAGATGTCAAAAAAATGCATCTAGTGATCTAAAGAAATCTCCTTTGGAGGCCATTCCTACTGGTTTCAATGGGATGAAAGCAATTCTAGTTGATGGAAAACCAGTTAGAGCTGCTGTAACAAAATACCACCTAAAGCGACTTGGTATTATTGTAGAAGATGCCAGTAGTATCAAGATGGCAATTGGTGCACTATGTGGACAAAATGGTCACTTGAGATCCGGGTGAGTCTCTCCCCTTCAAGTTGACTCGAATGGGAGTCTTTTGGTTGATGAAATTTCAAAAGTTACTGCCTGCTGATGTGTGAACAGTTACTGAAGTTTTTATTTCCATTAAAATCTTCCACATAAATGAACCAAATGGACTATTTGCATATTTCTTTTTTCTGTCTTCATGTATTGTGTCTTCTAAACAGGGAGAGGAGGCTGGGTTCTATGTGTAGAACCATAACTTACATGCAATTCGTCTAATAAAAATATCTTACATGCAATTCTTATAATTAAGATTTTATGCCATGTTATTGAAACATATAATTATTTTGCTAATTTTGTACAACTTGGACTAACTCTGTTTTTGCAAAGACTTGAGTTGCTCATAAACAGTTAACTGATTCCCCCAACCCCACCCAAATTGTATGATGTACCAAGTTTTTTTCTTTCTACCCCATTTCATTTGAAGATAATTTTGATGTTACTGAAACTAAACTACATTGTCTTTTTTTGTCAGAAATGGAAAAAGGCCAGATATGATTCTGGTTGAGAAGGATTCCTGGATTTCCAGTGAGGATGGGGTTTTGCCTATACGGTTCATTGACTGGAAGCAGAATGGTTGCATGTTATTGCCAAAGGTGATCCTTCTTGCAACCTCTATCAGTACTACAGAATCTGATAAAGCAAAGGCTGCAGGTTTTGCCAATACTGTGATCATGAAACCTCTGAGAGTAAGTATGCTTGCAGCATGCCTTCAAGAGGTGCTGGGAATGGGGAAGAGGAGGCCACAAGGGAAAGAAATGATGAAGGGATCTGCTTTGCATCATAGCCTGCTACATGGGAAGAATATATTAGTCGTTGATGACAATATGGTAAACCGTAAAGTTGCTGCTCGTGTGCTGGAGAAATTTGGGGCTAACGTGGAGTGTGCTGATAGCGGGAAAGCTGCACTCATGTTGCTTAGTTTGCCACATAAGTTTGATGCTTGCTTCATGGACATTCAGATGCCAGAAATGGATGGGTATGTCTTAGAAGTTCTTCATATTGACTTATTAAATGCAATTTAAGGTTTCCCCTTAAGAACATGGAAATTTTCCTCATTGTGTGGAGCTGCTGAGTATGCATTAACTTTGCTGCTTAGACCAAGTTCTTTTCTGCTTTGTTGTATGTAAAACTTAGAGGCTTTATGAAATTTAAGCAATTAAATTTAGGCCTTTAGGGACATTTTGCAATACAAGGTCTGTTATGATAATCATTAGGACTATCTATTTGTGCAAGAGAGTGAAACACAATATTAAAGACACTGTAATTTCCATGTTTAGTATGGTTTGGATAAAAGAAAGAGGCATAGGCATGTATAATCTATCTATCTTGACTATTTTCCCCCAAACCTTTCAGTGTTCTCTAGGTTCTGCACTCCCCTTTGCTTTTCTTCTCAGTAACGAATCTAAGAAGCCAATTTGGTACAAAGGCAGACTAGATAAGATCACTGACAGTTGCACAGCAACATTACTCATGTGATTATGATGTCTGGGTGAAATCAGCACCTGTACGGATATGAGCTGTTGGATCTGATGGATCCTATTGATAGAAGATTGATTGTAGATTCATGGAAACATTTTTTTTTCTAGATTTTATAAGGTATTTATATGATTTTTTGGTGTTTTTTTGAAGTAAATAATGAAAAATCAGGAATTAGAATTTTTGTTTGTGTGATTTATTTTGATAGTTGTGGGAACTTGGGTCTGGAATTGCTTGATTCTTATCAAAATTCTGGACCTGTGGAAACTTTTTTCACCTCATCTGGAGAAATATTGAGGGTGCAGCAGTATATTTCTGCCCCCTTCATTCTTCTCTCTTGGTTCTGCATTTTCCTTTGCTTCTCTTCATCTGTAATCAACTAAGAAGCTAACTTGGTATGGAGCAGATGAGAGAAGATCATGAATATTTGCATGGAAACATCGATCAAATCATTATGATATAGGTAACATCAGAACCTGTACAGACACGAAATGTTGGACCATACTGGTTGATGGAAGATCACTTGTGGATTGACTGGATTCAAGAAAAAATTTCCAAGATTTTAGAAATTGTGCATATCAAAGTGTCTTTATCAGTCTGTGCAGATACATCCTTGATCTCTCAAAGAAACTTGGTCCAAGACTCCAAACTAGAAGATGTGCCAATGAACCAAATTTGATTTTAGATGATCAAGAAGAGGAGCCAATACAAGTTGCTGGTATGTTTCAAAGATTGGTAGGGAAGCTAATATTTCATTCACTAGACCTGTTATCTCATATGTTGTTAGGGTTGTCCGTCAGTTTATGTATTCTCCTAGGCTTACTCACCTCAATGTCGTGAACAAATTGCTGTGTTATCTCAAGGATTCACCAAGTAAGGGGGGTTGTTTAGAAAGAATGGCATATGAAGGTCAAAACTGCAATTTGGGCAACCTCAATTACTGATAGAGGATCAACTTCTTGCATACTACATTGGTAGGTTGAAATATGGTCATATGGAGAAGTAAGAAGCAATTAGTGGTAGTGTGAGATCTAGTTCTGAGGTAAGAGTACCGTGCCATGGCACATGGAGCTTGTCAGTTGCTATGGTTGAAGAAACTTCTTCATAAACTTGCTTGTGTAGTATGGAGACATTAATCTTTACTTTGAGAACAAAGCTGTAATAAGTACGGTTCAAAGTATTTATGCACCTCTGTGTATTGTTACTTTGAACAATATTCCTGTTTTTTTTTTAATTTTTTCTTCAAGTTCAGTTTTAAGTATATAAATATTATTTAAAAAATGGGTTCCCGAAAACACCTGTAAACAGGTGTATCGGGGATCAAAAGATACGATACGATATGCCCGGGGCTATACTTGGTAATAAGTATAGCCCACAATCTAGTTCAACACAATAGAATGAAGTATATTGAAGTTGATAGACATTTCATATGTGAGAAAGTTGTTAGAGAAACTTGTTTGTCTAATGCCAAGACAGAAGACCAATTAACGGATATTCTCTTACTGAGGCTGTTACAAAGTCCCAATTGTTTGGTAGACTTGGCAATCTGGGTATGTGTGACACATGTGCACCAGCTTGAGGTTGTGATGGTTAGGAAGGTTGGGATGGGTTTAAGGGTGATGTAGGAGATGAAAACAAAGATTTGTTGGAATAGAAAAGGTCTAGGGAGTTGAATGCAAAAAATTGTAGATATTCCCCAGGATGGTGGGGAATTTAAAAATATAAAACACAGGTCTAGGATAGGAAATAGGGTTAGAATGGATGGTGGTAGTGTAGAAGGCAATTGGGAGTATGGTGGCACAAAAGGATGGAAACTTCTAGTATTGGGAGAAAACTTGGAAGCTAAGGGGGAATTAGAGATGGTTTGGCACAAAAGATAAAAATGGACAGAATGGGGAACTTTTGATGAAAATTAAAGGGAAACTCATCTAGATTATTCCAGTCATTTGAGCCTGTTGAATGTATGCCTTTTGATGAAGAACTAATGGCTGTTGATGGCTGTAGTGGCTTCTTATTCTTAAAGGATTAATGAGAAAATAAAAAGATAAAACCCATAATTACTAAACCAAGCGCCTGGATTCATTTTAGCATTTAATAGATGCATTCAGGGGCTAAAACATTGTGGGGAATGGTCTCAAAACAAGCTTCAGAAAGATTGCTGGTGTCGGGACAGATCACTTAAAGACCTGTTTCCATTCCCTATATGAGCTGGCTGTGGATTTCAGGTGGCAGACTATTATCAGGTGCAGAAAAAGAAATCTGAATGGTTAGGAGGTGCCCCAACTAGTGGATTTACTGCAAAAGCTATACAGTACTCGGCTGTGCTTTTCAAGAGAAGACAAGAGATTGTGGGCGTGGGAGAACTCAGGTCAATTCTTGGTTAGATCCTTCTATAAAAGGTTGGCTGGGCAGCTGGAGTGGGATTTCCTAAGTAGGTATGGTGCAAAGTTGTTCCCTCAAAGGTGTTTTTTTTTTATTTTTTTTTATTCTGGTCTGCTACTATAGATAAAATATTAACTCAGAAAACATGGTGAAGACTGAAGAGAGGAATGCAGCCGGTGGATATAAGTTGCCCCTTATGCAGAGAAACATCTGAGGCCATCAGTTGGCTGAAACAGTCTGAAAAAGCCCCATGGTACTTATAATGAGATAAAAAAGGTTAGAAGATTGTCAAGTAACATGCAGGTGGAATTCCAATGGGTGCCAAGGTCAACTTATAGTCATTCATCAAAAAAGGTCAACTTATAGTCTGGCAGATCAACTAGCAAAGCAAGAGGTTAACAGGAAACAATGTTTTTGGGCTCAGTTGTAATGCTTAAGATCATACTTACTGGTTTGCTTTTCTTGTAATGCCTATCTTGTAATGGGGTAGTCGAGGCTGCGAATAGAAGTGAGACGGGCTATTGGGGCAAAAGTCTCCTCATAATCAATGCCATACTCCTGTGTGAACCCTTTAGCTACCAATCTAGCTTTATACCTTTCAACTGAACCATCTGCCCGAGTCTTGATTTTGTAGACCCATTTGCAACCAATCACGGATTTATCTGGAGGCAGGTCAACTAAATCCCAAGTATGAGTGCTTGTAAGAGCTTGAATTTCTTCTGCCATTGCTTTCTGCCATAAGGGTCAGTACTAGCCTCGTGATAGGTACAAGGCTCATATAAAGATACAATGGTAGAATAACAATGAAAATCACGAAGAAGAATGGAAGGTTTAGTGACCCTACCAGAGCAACGGAGTGAAACATCAGAATGAGTAGGGTCGAATTCATCAGGAGGAATCAAGGGCTTAGAAGAAGGCAGAGCTGGAGGATCCATAGCCAAGGTAGATGCATCAGGAGAGGTTAGAGCTATCAGATGAAGTAGTCGGACCTGCAGGTAAATCACCAGGAAAAAACGAGATAGTAGGATCAGTAAAAAAATGTGAAGATGTCGTGGTAACTCGAAATGGGGAGAGACTGGAGAACATTTTGTGTTCCCAAAAGGTAACATGACGAGATATGCGAAGTCGTTGGGAAAGAGGATCCCAACACCGATATCCTTTATGTTCAATACTATACCCGAGAAAACAACATAGACGTGCTTTTGGTTCCAATTTGGTATGTTCATGAGGTTGTAATAGAACAAAACAAATACACAAAGAGACTGGTAATCAGGGCAATGGCCATACAATCGTTCATAAGGAGAAATGTTACCAATAACAGGAGAAGGAATGCGATTGATGGTATAAACAACAGTGAGGGCTGCTTCCCCCAAAAAACGTTCAAGACAAGAGGAAGAGATTAAAAGAGCTCGAACAGTATCAAGAATATGCCTATGTTTTCGTTCTGCATGCCCATTTTGTTGAGAGGTACCGGGACAAGATCTATGAATGATAGTTCCATTTTGTGAAAGAAATTAGGTAAGGATAGAATCTCTGTATTCCATGGCATTATCAGTGCGAAAAATCTTGATGATGAGGAAAACTGAGTTTTGATCATGGTGGCAAATTGAATATAAATTGCAAGTAATTCAGATCTATTACGCATGAGATAAATCCATGTATATCGAAAGAAATCATCAACGAAGATCACAAAATAATGCGAACCACCCATGGTATTATGAGGCGAAGGGCTCCAAATATCAGAATGAATAAGATCAAAAGGTGCAGAAGAAACATAATCACTTATATTAAAAGGCAAAGCATGATGTTTTGAAAGAGGACATGAAACACAATCAAAGTATGTTGTTTTAACAGGACCCAAACATCCATTAGAAATTAAAGATCCTAATTTAGAGGTAGTAATGTGACCAAGGCGAGAATGCCAGACACTAGAGGTGATAGCAGCAGCAAGAGATGGTAATTGAAGAGATGATAGCTCAAACAGTCTCCCAACCTTACGGCCTGTCCCAATGATCTTCTCTGTCCGTGGATCCTGCACAGTATAACCACGACTTGAGAAAGGTATTTCAAAACCAAGTTCACATAATTGTCCAACAGATATAAGATTTAGAGATAATTGAGGTACCAAAAAAGTGTTAGGAAGTGACAAACGAGATGTTGAAACAGTGCCTACACTTTTGACAGTTAAGGTGGAACTATCGACAGTATGAACAATTGGTACAATAGAAGGATGTGACTTGGAAGTGAACAGTGATGAATTTGGATGTCATATGATTGCAACAGGCAGAATCAAAATATCATGATGAGGTAGTACCTGGAGTGGCGGACAAGACTGAATTAGAAGGCATACTAGAATCAGGTTGGAGCTGGTGAAGAAGAGCTTGGAGTTCTCTAAGAGAAAATTTTGGAGAGGTGTTATCAGAAGAATTCTCTGTGGCAGCAGCTGCAGTAGAACTCGAAGCCTGAGAACCCATGGATGAGGACTTCTGTTCAGACGCCTTTTTGGCTTGCAAGCGGCGGCACTCAGAAATAGTGTGACCAGTCTTCTTGCAGTAATTGCAGAAAGTCCATTTTGAAGATTTAGTTGAAGAAGTAGCAGACGTACCCGGAGTAGCAAGAACAACATCAGTAGATAATAAAGATCGCTTATCTCGAAGTATTTTTAGACGAGTTTCTTCAGAAAGCAAATCTTTGATCACAACTTCAAGAGAAGGCAATGGGCTACGATGAAGTAGAGTACCACTAATAGGTTCATACTCATCCCTAAGAGTCATCAGAAGATGCCAAACACATTGGTGATCGCAAAACTTGGAATAAGTATGCAAAGGTACTATCCCATTCAGGTTCACACTGTACTAATTGATCCCAAAGAACTTGTAATTCAGAGACATAACTGTGAATGGTCTGTTCAAGTTGCTGCTTCATACGGTGAAGACGCCTATAGAGCTGAAACTGATGCACATCATCAGAAATAGAATAACGAACTTGTAAGAAATCCCATACCTCTTTAGGAGAGTCGTATCTGCGAAATTCCAACTTGATGCTTGCAATACAAGTATTGCGAAACCAGGTCAATATTTGATGATTATTCCCGTCCCATTTTTCTACTCGTTCAGCAAATTTATCTTTTGTTTCATCAGCAATTTTAGTAGGTTTGGGAATCTCACCCGTCACATATTTGCCATAGAAGGCGTCCCTTGAGAAAACTGCACATCTCCTGGGACCATAAATCATAATTTGAGCCATCGAAGGTAACAATGATGGGATGAGAGATATGTTGAGCAGCTTCAGATGAATCCATGAGGAGAAACGCAAAACTTTGGAGCAACACAGATCACGGGAAAATATTAATACTGACTTTAAGAAACAAGGTAGACCCGGGGCTCTCGCTTAGGCTCAGGCTCAGACCCGTATTCCTTTCTTGCTTTCTTCAGTCAATTTTGTTTCTGTCTTCCCCCAACTAAGCCTTAGCGACCAACTCAGACAGCAGCAATGGTGAGTCAAGCGATTGAGAATTACATAGAGAAGGTGGAGATGCTCTCTGCAAGGAGAAATCGCTGTAGATTCTGGAGGAGATATTGCTGCCCAAGAGTCTGTTGCCGTTGGACGGCACGGAGGTGGGCTACAACAGGGAAGCCGGGTTCGTCTGACTTAAGGAGGAAGAACGCAACACACCTTCAAGTGCATCGGGAAGCAGGTCTCGTACGCGAATGAGATTACTGCCTTCGTGGAGAACCACCGGATGAAGAAGCTGATCGGGGTCAAGAGTAAGGAGCTCCTGATTCGGGTTGGGTCACCCTCTGGGATATCTACCTCGACCCTGCTTCCGGTAAGATCTCGTTCAAAACGCCGGCCGGAATCTCTCATTCGTTCCTCGTTTCTTCTTTCGGGCTTGAAGAAGAAGAAGCAAATAAGAATTGAACTCAGTGTTTCTGCGTGCACCGGAAGTCGTGTACCGGACGACGATCATGACGGGAGGTTATGCGAGGGTGCTAGCTTTCAACCCAAGGTGCTACGATAACCGGTGCAACGACAGTGTGCACTCATGAGAGGGCGCCGACGAAGCTCAAGTGGAGGGATGGATCCGGTAAAGTATCACACGCTCTAATACCATGATACAAAACCAAGAAAGATGGATGGAGAAGATAATAATTTCTCTTGATATTGCTAATTCAATAGGCTACAGCTCTATTTATAATAGAGCTAATTATAATAGGGATACAATAGGGAGACAAGGTCGGCGACCTAAAGTAGGATACAATAAGGAAAGAAAAAGAGATAAGAAGATAAGATATGTACAGCTATCTCCTAGAAGGAAGGAGATAATGATACTAATTTTGATAGAAAACGCTAACACTATTAATAAAATCTATTCTTGTACTGATAAAAAAACATCTGAGGTCAGCTTACCACTTCACTGTAGTTTCTCTTTAATGTTTGGGCAAGGATGATGAGCTTGTTTGCGGTGAGGGGTTGTTTTCTAAAGACACTTAATGAGATGTTAACAGGCTGGCAAGTGAGAGGATTAAGCAAACAAGGGACGTAGCATGGGGTGTTATTTCTGCAGCTGTTCTGTGGTCAATATGGAACCATAGAATTTTAAGAAAATGAGGCAAGCTCTATTGAGGAGGTTACAAGCGAATCATGGGGAAGGTGCTATCTTGGCTGACAACTAACAAGCTGTTTAAAAGCAAATCAATTAACTTTTTTTTAATTTTTTTTATTCCAGTTTCCCTTTTGTAAATAGTTAGGGATTGATCGCATATCGATAGATGTATAAACACCCGGTGAAGAGCAACCTGTTTTACAAGGGCTTTTGCCTTCTGAATACAATATAATGACATTACTTTTCAAGAAAAAAAAAAAAAAACAGAATCATGCTAGGCATGGGAATCACTCACCAATAAGCTGTAAATCTCTAATCAGCTTCATTCATACATTGTGCAAAATGCCCATAGATATTTATAGACTGTAGACCCATGAGAATCCTAGTAAACCTCAAAAACTAAAAAATTACAGAATTACCATTAACCTATTTTAGCTCAAAGATGATTTACTAACTCTTAAAATACTTATTCAATAACTTTGATACTTGAAGCATAAACCAATTATAACTAGGAAATTTGTATCCTATTATTGGATCCCACAATAATTATGAAATAACAAAAATGCCTCTGGTGTCACTTGTCAAAATAACCCTCTGCTGTCCAGTTCAGCCCAAATCCCTATCCCTAGTTGTGTCATATCAGGACCTACTGCAAGGTCGTCTTCTTAACTCTTCAAAGGTGGTGATTGATCTGCATTAACATCTGATCCTTCACACGTGTCTTAAAATTTTGTTTTATGTAATTCAGACCAAAAAGAATAGAAGGTGGTGATTGATATGAGTGTCATCATATTGTGGGTCACATAAAGAATAGAAGATGGAAAAAATATGAATTCAGATATATGACTTCCTTTTTTATGTGAACTAGGTGATATATAATTATCCAAGTAGAACCTGTGGATGAATTGCTCATTGTAGAATAATAAATTCTTATTTTCCATGATGTGTTATCTTTCTCAAAAAAAAAAAAAAACCCATGATGTGTTACCTCATTCTGTTGAGCTTTTAAAACTAGGTGGAAATTCAGGAATGAGGACATTGAAAAAGATTATTGATTGGTAAATATGCTTGGAAAACATCATTTTGGTCTATCAGTAAACAGAAAGTTCATAATCATGTTGTGTTCTTATGCTACAATCTGATTGCTTTTGGAGGGATGACTTATGCCTTCCTCACTGCAGGTTTGAGGCAACCAGGCAGATTCGGTTAATGGAGAGGAAGGAGAATGAGAAAATAAAGACCAGAGAAGTAACCTATGAGGGGGGAAGCAAAACTGAGTGGCATGTGCCAATATTAGCCATGACAGCTGATGTTATACATGCGACATATGAAGAGTGCGTCAAGTGTGGAATGGATGGTTATGTCTCCAAGCCCTTTGAGGAGGAGAATCTTTACCAGGCAGTTTCCAAGTTCTTTGAATCCAAACCAATTTGAGACTCATAACACAACTCATTTCTTTTGAGCCAGGCATATTCAATACTGATAGAAAACCCAGTCATATCCAATTGGCAATCTTTGGGGGTGGGGGAAGCCATGGGTTCACACCCTTAGAATTGCAGCAAATTTTTTGAACTCCTTCGGTGTTGTTTAGTGATCTTTGGCCTGAGTCATCCAGCTAGTGTTCAGGTTTTCCTTTTATTTTTCTTTGGGTGAGGGGGGTGCTGGTGGGCTGGGAGGTTCTTTGTTTGCCGGCATTGTACAACGGATTGGCAAAAAAAATTATTTGAACTGAATTGCAATTGATCACCGTCTTTGAGTGTATGTATACGATAATTAGACCTCCACCCCATCATGTATAGGTCTCTAGTAGGAGAGAGGCCAAGAGATCTTCCTGTTCTTTAGAAAAAAAAAAGGTTGTAAATTGATTTTCATATATATATGATCGTGTTGTTTCTCATTCTTTCGAGAAGCTATTCGAGTGGTATCTTGAATCATGTAATTCTATTGCTATCAAACGCTTGTTCACCATCTGTACCTATGTGTTTTCTCCACTTGTTTTTACGTCCCACAACTGATTCTTGTTCTGACGATGCATGAACGCCTTCTGGGCTTCTTCTGTCCAAGGACTGTATCTAAGGTACTTGTAGTATCAAGATCTTTCATATCAAAACTCATTGACTTAGCATAGCACTTAGGAGGTGCTGAATTTCTGGCTCAATTACCTGTGATTGTTTCAGAGCTAACAAATGCCTGATATTGGCATGGACTTTTGGCCTGCTTGTGTAGTTGGGAAAGTGGGTTGGTTCTCCATTTCCCTGGTTAGAGGGCTTGTTGATCATTGTTCTGCTAGATGTATAGGAGATGATGAATTGCTTATGCACTCAGGAGTGCTTAAGAGTTATGTCTCCCAAGTCCCGACCAAAAAAAAAAAAAAACTGGTGCCCAAGCCCTTTCTAAGTAACTTAAACTGAAGGGCAACTCAATTCAAAAACTTGGACAAAAGCTAGAGAATCATAGGCCCATAAATATTGAGGGTGGATACTCAAAGTCCACATTTAATAGATGTGAAGTGGGTCAGAAAATAAAAAAAAAATCCAGCAGCCTGGCCAATGCATGGAGACCACATTGGCGCCCCACATGGCACATGCACATCTCAGTGTGCATTGGGAAAATTTCCCGTACTTCTCATGGGGAGATGCTCTAATACACAAGTGGGAGGTGCTGTGGGGCGCCAATCTCATCTCCAATACATAAGGCTCCTGCCAATGCAGGGTCTGGGTGGGATAGATGTACGCAGCATTGACCCTTGCAGTTGTGCCAAGGCCCACGGTCAGAAAGCTGCTTTAAATATGATTTCAACCCTAATTTTAAACTGGACATATTTGGAGGCTGAAAGTAATTTCTGCAAATCTATGAAACGTTAAATCAGATTGTATATGGTATGGTCACTCTTCCAGTTCCAGGTGGGACCCCTAGTCCTAATTCTTTAGATATGTAATGCCCACAAGGGACCTAAAACCCAAGACATTCCTTTAGTAGTATTCTACCCACTTTATTAATCATTCTGGGGCTACCAATATGACATCAACCAACTGGTACCACTCTAATAACTACTTAGATAAAACAAAACAAAAGGAAAGCCTAAAAGCTCCATATATTCTCATTCTCATCTTCTATGTTAAATACTTTAAGAAATAAATATAGCTTCCGCTTGCATCTAGGGCCTGAGAACCCATGAAAATTATTTTCTTTTTGGGCTGTATCATGTTCACTCTCCAACTGGTTTCAATCAATATATGCATGGTCCCCTCTTATTTACAAAAACACTGCTTTCGACCATAATGAACCCCTTTACAAGTTTCCGCTGGCAACTGGCAAGCACATCTTACTAATAAAATGTTAGTGATATTTACAAAAACCCTTGTCAGGCCTGGTAATCCACTATTCTTATTGCAAGTTGTTAGACACCTAGAAGCTCAAGCTTTTAAGTTGGATGGTTCTTTGAGATGGTATTAGAGCCAGATTAACTAAATAGTCTAATATTTAATCATTTCCTTGATTCTCGTCACCTCTATTATAATTAATTAAATTTTAGCACAAGGATTGGATGGACCTGTGCTCGTTCACACTACAAGCCCAATGGGCTTTTGCATGAGGGGGTGTGTAGAGAATAAGGAACCCATTCAATAATCTATAACAGCTAAAATTTTTAGGTTGATTGGTTCTTTGAAACAAATAAGTTTACATCATGGTTTTTAAAACCAATCCGGTGACCGAACCGATCAGGGGTCCGGTTACCGAGTTGAACGGTCTGACCATTCGAACCGAATGCTCGACCCGTTCTGACAAGATAATAATAATAAAAAAAAATGGCCAAAACATTCGAATGGTTCAAACGGTTAACCGCCTGGTTCAGTGGTTCTCTGACCAAAATCAACGGTTTGGGGGGAAAATCCATTTTTTGGGGAAAACGGAACCAGTCACCTGACTGTTTCCCGGTTTTCCGGTCCGACCGTCCGGTCCGGTCCGGTTTTGAAAACCATGGTTTACGTCATCCATTAGATTGTTCTCTGTACAACTGTCTTGACTGTTACCACCCATTCCCCAGTTATGAGTTAACCTCGCAGAAGATATTACCAACAGTTCAGTTCATTTAAGCTTGGTGCTGTTTTGGCTGAAAGACAATTTCATTTCTACCCATCCAAACAATCTATAGTGATGAGAGATACAAGACTATCCAAAGTCAAATTTGTTAATTTGACAAGTAAATTTATAAGTTTGCAAAATATAGGTCTTAAATCATCTGTCAGATCGAACTGCAGATCCAAAACCATCAAGCCCTGTTATAAATGCAAAGATTAATATCAGTAGTCTCCTTTTCTTGAGGAGACTCTTGTTGAAACCAAGTAATTCAAACCTCTCCAGACAAATAGCTGGTACTTGTTTGTCTTGAATTTCCAAATCAACTTTCAAATAAGCAACTACCCCACATACAAATTAAAATATTGTGCTACAAATTACGAAGTGATATAGTAGGAACCTAACATGAATTTTCTCGGATTGAGTGATGGTTATCTGAAGAATACAAGGTATACAATATTACCCATATCCTAAAAAAGTAAGATCATGATCAATTAGGCCAGGCAGACCTTCTGTTTTTCTAATAAAATATGAAGCTAGTCTAACTACCAGATTAGGGCCTCTACATTTCAATGCTAGGAAAGAAATTCTTCACTGGATTTGATGGGTCTGGAATGTGGCTATGGAATTTCTGTTTCTATTAAAAAATGTGAACTTATCGGTTATATTTGCAGCGATTAGGCATTTTTAATGGAAAAAGAACGACAACAAGATGGGGTTATATCTAATTTAACATGCTCTTGATCCTCTAGAGGAAATTTGTGCTCAGCCACTCTAATATTAAATCAGATAGTGTACTAGCTCAGCTACAAGTTATTAGTATAATATGTGTCTTATTCACTTTGTGTCGTCTGTACTTTTATTTGAATATTGATGTAAAATTGTTTATATATACATAAATAGTACAGAGGTACTGGGGAGTCACTAGTGTTCCACATTGAGAATAAGCATATTTGTTTTCACTACTTTCAAGGCTTTTGTTGTAAAAAGGAGATGCAAATGTGAGGATCCAGTTGTTGATAAACCATTTTGAGTCTCTCAAAAGTTGTTTTCAACCTGGGTGGGTTACACTTACAGTGTATGAGAGTATTGTATAGTACAAGGCAAAGGGTAATTAGCTTTTTAATACAGCATTTGAAGACTGAGCAATTCTAAGCATGGTCACTTTGTGTGAAAAATGCCAAGGTTGGGTGATCAGTATCCAGTCCATCCCTCCCAGGACCCGGACCAACATTGGGTAATGGCCCCTATAATTTGAAGCCTGAGTGATTAATTCCCAAATCCAAATGCACTACAGAAGATTGTATATCTAGAACCCTGCATTATTTATTCTCAATAAATTTCTTGTGTCCCTTCATTCAATTTCTTGTCTCATTTATGAGAGCAAATGCATAGCATTCTGTAATGTTGAAAATATATATGGGCAAGTTCCAGAGATATCTAGAACAAATGCTTACCCATATTATGTATAAAAAAATGCTCCACCCAAATTTCTGCAATAGATAATATAACCAAAAGCTGATTCAAATTGTCTGTTCATAACCACTAATGCAATCTCAATGAATTCAAAGTGTTGATGTATTCACAGTTAGTTAGATATCATTAATCATGTTTATGACTCAGGTGTACACCCAATTCAAATGCTAATCATCATGATCCCATAACACAAAACCTGCCATTTTATTTATAATGTTAATATGCATTAGATTCTTGTACGTTGGGCAAATAATTTTATATAAGTTTTATATTGTCTACCATATGACAGCACTAGCAAAGCCTGTAAATAATTGTTGAAAATAGTAAAGTGAAGGTGGAGAGAGAGAGAGAGAGAATTCTTTTATGCCTCTTAAGCTTTTAACAAAGGAGAAGACAACGCAGCACTAAAACCAAATACCCATAAAAACAAAAGAGAAAATAGATACAATGATATTCCTTTGCTTGGTTAAAGTAGAAACAACGTAGAGACATCAAACGGTTTAGGACCAAATGCATGTTTTCTGCTATGCTTGTCAGCCATGGGGAGGCAAACTCCATCCATATATTTGGTGCACTTGTCTCCATATCAAGCTTTACAGCGGAGAGTGCTTTAAAGTTTAAAACCAGGTTAGGTTAAACAAATAAACTAGGGAATGATATCCAATTTCATAACTTTATTGTCATTAATTATTAGCTATAGCTGTTGTACAGGAGAGTAGTGGTTCAACTAAAAGCACAAAGTATCTTATCAATCTCTCTGTCTATGTGAGTTGATGTGAAGGTTAGAGGAATTAGGGTTACATTGGACCCTTGTGAAATAAACAAAGGAGGAAGCTAATGGGAGTTTATAACAAATTAACATTAATAAAAGGACAAAGTATCTCATCAAATTGCTGACACCCATTTGGCCATTACAACTGGTCTCAAGAAAAAGCACAAAGTATCTCATCAATCTCTGTCTGTGTGGATTGATTCGAAGGTTAGAGGAATTAGGGTTTTACATTGGATCATTGTGAATTAAACAAAGAAGGAAGCTGCTAATGGGAGTTTATAACAAACATTAATAAAAGGACTCATCATTTACACACTTGGTAATCCCACCTCCATTTGGTCTCAAATTGTTGACACCCATGCCAGTTAGTTCTGAAACAACTAGACCTAATCATAAACCAGCCTGCCTAATCATAGCCCACTCTACGACAGATGACTTCGTCTGCCTGACTTCATTATGCTTTTACAGTAATTTGCTAATTAAGTTTCCGCCATGATTTACTATAAATCACAGAAAAGTATATAAATTGTTAGTCTTTGTATCATGGTAGTAATTTTCATTTCAGAAGCTCTAATTGGCTCTTCTCTCTTTTTGGCTGGTGGATACCGTAGCCCACTACAACTTCCCACAAACAAACAGTATTATGGCCTAGATTTTTCTCAATTGTGCCTATGAAACTAACTAGGGTTTCTTTTTGTTGAGCCCCTACATTATTTTCAGCTTGAATTGATAGTTTTTGAGGATATATAAAACTAGGGCTTTGCTCATTCTGGATGAACGTGCGCCAGAAGTTTCTTGAATTCTGCAGAATTCATTACAGTTCTCAATCATTACCCCAGCAATGGAACTAAACGTTTGCTTGAAAGAGTCCATGATTCTGAAACCATGTCAACAGTCCAAAAGGCAAACTATCCAACTTTCTGGCCTGGACAGGATTTCTCCTGCAATTCTTTACACTCTTTTCTTCTATAACGCTCCTTTGACCGATCAGACGTCTTCTGAGGAAGATGATCACGTCGAGAGGGCAAAGAAGGCTCTGGAGAAGGTTTTGGTTTCATGGTTCCCAGCTGCAGGAAGGTTCAGAATCAACGAAGACACTGGAAAGCTGGAGATTGATTGCAACGACGAAGGTGTAACCTTGATAACTGCAGCGACAGACTTCAAGCTTGAAAAACTTGGGAAACTGCATGAATACAAAGCATGCTACGAGAAGCTGGTTCCTAAACTTCCAGCAGAAGGAGATATATCAGAAAACCCACTTGTGGTTGTGCAGGTATAATTTTGTTCATAGAAGTGGAAACCCTAGTTTCCATTCTTTTCTTCTGTGACCTGCTTAATTAGTGGCTTAGTTTCTATTGGTTTCTTGGGTTGCTTTGGTTTTTGTGTAATTCTTAATCACCTAATAATCATGAAGAAACCTCGCAATAATCCCGGGTGACTTCTTGTCTTGATCATAATTACACCAAGAAAAAAATAAAACTGTTGATGAAAGAGAAATTTATAGCTTAATTAACTGTTCAGACATCATCTTTACCAAGATTTCTTGCATGGGTGGTTGTGGATTTGCGCCACCCAAAAGTCTCAGAGAAAGAAAGAAACAAAACTGGAGTCCCCATTTTTTCTTTCATGCATCAGATTTTACTAAGCATAAAGAAAAGTGATTTTTAAGGTGGAACCAGTAACAATTTCAAAAGGAAGAAAGGAAGGAGAAAACAAGGTATATATATACACCTCTCTCTCTCTCTCTCTGCATGTGTGTGTGTTTCATGATCTGTTTGTGTTTGTAGCCAAGTGTTTCCATATATTTCTCTTAAGAGAAAGCCCTAGCTACCATTTCATGGCCACTATAAGCTTGACTCTGTATGCAGATGACAAGGTTTTCTTGTGGAGGATATTGTGTCGGTGTTGGAGGTAGCCATGCTTTGTTTGATGGCTTTGGAGCATTCAACTTCTTGTCATCCTGGGCTCACATTTCAAGTGGAAAAGATGAATCAGAGCTTGTTGTACCTAATCATTCAAGAGACGTCCTTCTGGCTACTTCATTTTCTCCTAATTCAGGTGCAGACATTGCTTCCATCTTCAAACAAGGCCATATAGCTGCTATTCAGGACCTGTATGGAATACCCATGCAGGCCTTAGCATCTAATGACAGATGTTGGGAAACTACATTGTCTAAGTTTGGCCAACTTGATGACCCTCAAGGTGGAATTCAGCTTATAACTGTGTGCAAGAAGAAGGAAGCAGTAGAGAAATGGAAAGAAATAGCAATTGAAAACGGCAAGCTTTCAAAGTGTTCTACCTTTGATGTCCTCTGTGCCCATGTGTGGAAGGTAAGTTCACTAAAGATTCAATTTGGTATCTCCTTTCAGTATTTTATTAAACTAAAAGTTCCCACTTCGAGGCACTTGTCTTGCCCATGGAGTTTCTAATTAACTCAATAATTAATACTGCTTTGAATCACTAGGTGGATCAATTTGTAATGTACCAAAGTAAAAAAAAAATGCATTTTTTTCAAATATTTTTTAAAGCGAATTTTGGAAATTTATTTAGGGAATAAAAATACTTAAAAATTTTATTCGAAATGGTTGGGGAAGTAAAATTTTAATATTTGAATCAACTGGAATGTATAAAACTATAAATTGATTTCACTGTATATTTCCATTGAATTTGAGAGCAGAAATTCAGCATCTAAAATGGTTTCATTTCTAGTACTAAAGGAGTAATTAATAGAAGTGAATTGAAATTATTTCAAATTTCAAGAAATGAAAACATTTCCATTTTTAAACTTGAAATGATCAAATTTTGGATTATGACACTATGTTGCTAAATGCCATAATAAAAGCTAAAACGAAATGAGTGGCATCAGAATATGTTATATGTCATTTCAATCTAATGTGCATGTATGAGGGAAATTCCAAGGGCAGTAGATTTGTTAATGAGTACAAATGTAAAACATTTAAATAATATAGATACTTATGTGTCATTAAATATTTTTTTGTTGCATATGTGACCCGATATTTTGTTATGTTTGTTGTTGTTACGGTCCCGCGCGTAGGATCCTGTCACGAGTCGGTCCATGATGCGAAAGCCCTGCTTCCCCTGGCGTGCAGACCCTATTGCGGAAACTGAATGGGTGATTTGTCCAAGAGACCACCCAAACTCTCCTCACTCTTTTCTTGGCTGGAAAACTGAATGCTTTATTTCAATTCGTGGCTCCTTAAATAGGAGCTTACAGAAGGAAATTCCTAATTAAACTCAAACTCCAATTTGAACTCAAACTCCTAATTACCTATTCC